AATGAACGTTAGTTGGTGCTCCAGTATAATCGGTACCCCTGAAACTCATCCAGTGAGAAACGTTCCGCGGTGCAAAAATAAGTGCGATTAAAATGCGTTAATTTTTTTAACGCGTTAATTTTTGTGTAATTAATTAATCTTAATTAACGCGTTAAAGTCCCGGCCCTAATTATGATGTGATATGCCGCGGACTGTACTTAATGTTACTCTGATCCGGTTACTTATGTTGTGGCAGATATTTAAGTAAGCTTTCTTAACGCTAATGTTATAATAGTCAGATTGCTCTGAAGATGGGAGGTGATATTCTATTAATGTTCACGTTCACACAGTCGGTGATTTTTGCCGGCCGTCTTTCCTGCAACGGCAGCTTTTCTGTATTTCCTTTCTCCTGTAATATGACTTGATCGCTTTAAACTCCGCACACTGAGCTCTGATTGGTCAGCAGGCAGTGCTTTCACTGAGTTGAGCTCTTAGCCTGCAACCTAACCTGCTCCGGAGCAGGCTAGCCGTTCAGCATAAGTTACCATGGAGATCTAGCCTGATAAAAAGAGAACCAGCTTCGTAGGACCGGAAACTCAGAGTTTTCCCTGAAGTTAGCCGCTAAGGGAAAATCCTGCTTCGTAGTACAGGCCTCTGGTCTTTGCTTCAGTTTTTTATTCATTTCTAGGTTATTTCACTCAGACAAGTTGACAATCAGAAAGCATTGTCCTGTATCTCGCACTGAAGCCGGGTAAACTGTCATGCTGGGAGTGTGACCGATGGACAGACCAACGTTTGCAGTAAACCTTTGAATCAGCAGTGAGTTGAATAGCCGCTATGAGCGTGTAACAAACAAGAAGTCAATGCTTATGTTTTCCTGACAGGTAGCGTTTGTGTTTGTGTGAATAATGACTCAATTAAATATCAACTTCACATGTACCTGCTGCAGGTAAACACCGAACACACTTATCTTAACCCTTTATTGCTTACTGAGTGTAAGTTGTAATTGATGTTGACTCCAGTTAAAGCATCATTACCTCCACCAAGGAGGTCATGTTTTCTGTTCAGGTAGTTAGCTTTAAGCAGGATAAAAGTAAAACTGGCCTGATTTACAGGAAACTAATGGAAAGGGTAATGGGCAAAGGAAGAGAAAGGGATCATTTGCAGCGAGGCGGCCATTACAAGTTTCATGCTCTCCACAAATATAAAAATGATATTCCAAAAATATTCCACAGTGTTTTCTGAAGGAGGAAGCTAATCCAGAGCAGATAATAAAATTGCCCGGACTTCTTTCTGTGGATTGATCCTCCTTAGCAACAGTCTGTTATCCTTAGCAACGATCTCTTAGCAGAAATTAGCAGTCTCTGTAATGTTAAAATTGACCAATCAGAATAGAGTATCCAGCTAAGCCCTGTAAAAAGAATGACACAAATCAAATCATTTGATTGCTGTCCGATTTTGTACTATTTAAAACAAATGGAGGACACGTTGACGATAATGTTTTACTGCATCAGATCTTTTCATACGCAGTAGCTACCTGTCTAGAAAGCCCACCTCACTGATAGAGACCTCCACACACACACACACACACTGCTCACACACAGCGAGGTGTGTATGTTCTCTCAGAGCTTTCATTGTGCCGCAGCAGCAGGTCGCTGTGAGCTGAAAACACACACCGCTTCTGTTGACCTGTTTATCACTTAGGAACCACGAGAGCCGTCTGCACACACACACACACACACACACACACACACACACACACACACACACACACACACACACCACACACACACACACACCCCTCCATCGTCCATCCCACACCGTCCCTCTTCCTCACACACCACCTCTCCAGGATTCAGATTTATAAAAATATTTCCAAACATGCCCCATCTCTCCGCCGTGCATCAAAGCAGCGGACATGGCGGCTCAGAGCCTCGGACACATTAGCAGCACGAAGCCGAGCGATGGATTTCTGCCACCCGCCGCCTCCTGAGGGTTCAGAGCATTGTAGCCGAGGCTCCAGAGAGTGTGTGTGTGTGTGTGGGGGGGGTGTGAGTAGAAGGACTCTAATGGAGCTCAGAAGCAGCCAGTCATGCACCGAGGAGGAGCCGACGCTGGGCCTCCAAATGTCTCAGCCTTTCAACATGAAACACACACACACACACACACACACACACACACACACACACACACACACACACACACACACACACACACACACACACACACCCATCCCCGATGTGTTGAATCGTAATTGACAGCCTGTATATTCTTGACTGTAAACAAAGACATCTTTAAAGTCTTTATTCTCCTTTTTGTCCTAAATTTCAACAAACGACAACATTCCTCCCACGCTGTTTCCACAACTAATCCAAAAAGATGTACACTAATGTGTGTGTATTTTTATGCCGTGCAAACTCGGATCAACGCAACATTCCCACACATGACATTTTGCTTCTCTGCGCCAAAAATGTGATTTAGCAAAAAGAAAATGTTAATACTGGTCTGACATATTTTAGAACCATGTTATTAAATGTTATACTAACCTATCCTGCTACAAATGCTGCTTTCATCCTCATTCCCCGATACAACTTTAAAGGCCCTCTGCGCGCACACACACACACACACACACACACACACACACACACACACACACACACACACACACACACANGGGTTATCAAGTGGATCGCTCAAGCCAGCCGTGTCCTATCTAGTTAGGTGCGCGTTCACATGAAAGGGGTGGTATCTGGAGCATTCGACCAATCACAAAGTTTGTGATTGGTCGAATGCTCCAGATACCACCCCTTTCATGTGAACGCGCACCTAACTAGATAGGACACGGCTGGCTTGAGCGATCCACTTGATAACCCGCGTCGTAGTACCGTTTAGCGAGAGCGCGTATGTTTTGGATTAGGCCAACCGGCTAACTCAAACATATCCAGGTTAGGTTGAACCAGCTTCGTAGTACAGGCCTCTGTTTGTCAAGCTGTTTAAAACGTAGAGTATAAAAAGCCTAACAATAGATTTTTGTTGAGATATCTTGAGAGAAAAGTATTTGTGTTTCTGCATTGTTCATCTGAGGTATAAACATCGTAAGTACAACGTTATTATGACCGATAGAACTCCAAAAGTATGAGTTGTGTTTTAGACTCACCTCGAACACCTTCTCGGTGTACAGCTCGTCGTTGACGCGGTCCCGCAGGATGTCCTGGTTCTGCCGGATGAAGGTGATGTAGGTGTCGGCCAGATCCATGCCTGGTTTCTGCAGGAGAGAGGACACACACACCTGAAGAAGAGCTGCAGGGAGGAAGAGGCAGGATACGAAGAACGATGTCAAACATGCAGTGCGTTCAGCCTGGTGGTGGAAAGGATCATGCCTGGCATTCATCGTGCAAAGCTTCGTCCATGCTGATCATCAATGATATCACACCACAGGAGAAGGTGATGATGGAACAAACCCCCTGATGATAATGGAAAAACATAACACAATACAAAGAGAGTCCTGCGATAACTTCAGCTAGCTTCTATAACTCGACGCCGTGTCATTGACGGTTTCCTACGTCAAGAGACAGATATCTTACCGGGCTATCGGACCAACAAACAATGGAGAAAAAAAAAATCTATTATAAAAGACATTTGCACAGACCAAACTACGGAAAATTGGTGATAAAGTAAGGCTCTTAAATAAAGTGATCATAACTCGTTCAATGTGAAATATATAAAGACTGAAGAAAAGCCTTACCTTAGAGTATTAGTATTTCAATGTCAATGAAACAACTCAGTATTTATCAAACTCTGAAGAGCAACACGTGACTTGACGGTCTCATTGTGTCTCTACTGATCTGCGATAACAATTACCGAGGCCATTTTATCAAGATGATCGGAGTAAAACTCAAACGTTTGCCTCTGAACTGGAGAAGGAGAAGTATAATGGGGAAAATGGAAATACTCAAGTAAAGGCAGTACCTCAAAATTGTACTCAAGTACTGTTCTTAGGTAAATGTACTTCCCCCACTGGTTTTCATTAAGGCAAACTCTGGTCAACTGTGAAAACACAACAAATGTTCATCATCTCCCGCTGAGTGCCTGGTGAAAAGAAGAAGAAAATAAAACCACTTCCTCCGTGTTTGGAGTATCAAGAAGCTTCTGAAGTGTGTGTGTGGCTGGGAGAGGCAGCAGTGTGTGAACCTGCTCATTCACACTCCCTGTTGTCAGGGGAGATTACAACTGTAATGCTTATTGTAATTGCTTTGACATCTTTCACACCCGTTTTCTCTGAGCCGGCGTGCGTCCTTCCCCCCGGGGGGGCTGTTGTTCTGCTGTCAGATCCCCCGTGGAAACACAAGGAAGTGGAGCCTCGAAGAAAAACCCAGAAACCTTTTGGCTTCACTTAGAGGCAAAAAGGCAGGTTGGAGGCTGATTATGAATTTGGGATTGTAACCTTTTGCTCGTCAGAGACAACACTAAAGAAACTCAAACTGTCACATGCTAATGTTGGAGAAAAGAGCTGGATGTCAACACCTTTAGTGCCTTCACTTTGGTTTGGAGAGCAGAGGCAGCTGAGGGGACTTTTAGCAGGGAGTTTACAGACCATTCACCACACATCACATCTTGTAAAGGGAGGAACTATCAGACACATTTGTTTGTTCTTGGTGAAAATAAAAAGCATCAAATGTACTTTGTCTGCAATAGTATGCTTAAAATAAATGCTGTCTCAATGCACCGAGACTTCTTCAATGAAGAGCTGCAACCATTCGTCGATTCACGGAAACTTTGATGAAAACTATATCGATAAACCAAAGAAATAACTGCAGTCGGTGCACACTCCCTTTTGCCTTCAAGAGTTCAAGACCGTTTCTTTTGAAAGGAATTTCTCAAGTAAACACACCAACACGTATTCAATGTAGAGCTGCAACCATTAGTCGACTGTCAGTACAATCCTCAACAACATTTTGATCATTTCTTCATGTAATTAAAATGCTGTCTCGGTGTTGCAAATATAGGGATTTCCTGCTTTTTCAGTTTTATATAATATTAAAGTAAATTCGTTTTTCGACTGACAGAGCAGAACATTCAAAGACATTGATTTTTAAGGATCTGGTTTGAACATTTTCCACTATGTACTCACATTTTATAGACCAAACGATTCCTTTTATAAATAATCTGTAACGAAACCAATTGCTTGTTGCAGCCGTGGATAAATGTTATGATTTCTGTTAAATATTTCCTGATAAAAACGGTCTCAGCAGCTTTCAGGGGGTCTGGAACAGCCAGCCTGAGATCAGTCAGAGACGCTCAGCTGTGATTCAGACGGACAAGAAAACCTGCAGATACCAGAGGTTAAAGTGGGGTCACATGGCTGGAAGGGCATCTGGAGTCTGAGTGTGTGTTTATGAAAAGAGGGGGGTGTGTGGTGTGAGTGTATTGTTCAACCAGAGAGAGGAGGCGGAGGCTCCCTGATTGACAGGCCTGTCAGAATCCCCATAATGCTCTGGAGTGAAAGTCCCAGATCGAGTATGATTGTCGAATGAAGCTCAGAAATCTTGACAAGAATGAACCCGGTGAATCTGAAGCCTGTTTGTTTCAGGACTCGTCATGAAGCCTCTGATCTGATCCAGCAGACGCTTTCCAGGTCACGTCCACAACGATGCAGGTACATTTCAGAACAGTGTTTCAATGTCAGGGGGGTTTCTATCCTCAACTAGCGATTCCTCCTCATCAAGTTTTCCATCCACACTTTAGACCCAGAGGAGTTGCAGTGGTATGTTGACAATTCAAATCTTCAGTATTGGTAGATAATCCGAGCCGTTATCTTGTTGCATATTAAAGTCCAATTTATACTTGTGTGTCTGCGACGGTCCGTTTATAATCCTTGTGATGCAAATTACTTCATCAGCCATGACCATTAGTGGCTAATCAAGAAGTGGCAAGAGCTGTTCCCTCAGCAGAACTGCTGACCGAAGAAATATAACAAACTTATTGATTTGATTCAAGAACAGTTGTGTAAGCACATTTACGAATACTGCCTGGATTGGTGTGCACTCGTGGAATGACAAACTGATTGTCTCAATTGTAGTAAGAATTGAACTCTCTACACAGAGTATGTACTGGGCTTTAGACTCTTTGACTCTACAACCTTCCCAATATTCGTGAGTCCTGATTCTAGGAGTTTTTTTCCACTGCTGATTCAGGAATCTCCTTGACCCAAAGAAAATAATTATCCTTCACAACCTTTTTCCACCAGTGGATTCTTGAATTGCTAACACAACATGCCCATCTGACCTTTTGGCAACAACTCCAAACAAGCCTTAACCCTAACCCTACGTTTCCAATGTCGCGGAATAAAAACCTAAAGAACTAAAGATCGCCTTAGGCTTTGATTTATCAGATTTTCCCACCAGCATTCCCAACCAGATTCAACCGATACCCAGGTGGTGGATAGTGGACATACAGCCGTAGATATGAGAGTAGAAATTCAGTCTTCTTTGGCCTCATATGTTCTGGCACCAGGTCAACGAATGAACTGTCCCTGGATCAATCAAGGTGCTTGCAAAGGACAGTCCATAACATGCATAGACTTGCCAAGCCACATTTGAAAATGGAATTAGAAAGTTGTCTTCAATCTGCCAACTCTAGACATGACTTTGCAGTGGATTAAGATAAGCAGGAAGACTCCTGTCCAAGACTATACTACAGATAATAGATGATTAGCAATTCTAACATTAGCAGACGGAGAAATTAGCAATCGTTATTAAAGTTCAAAGAGGAAAACAGTCAAAGTTAGCTTTATTATGCAAGATGCTAAACTGGTCGTAACGGGTTTGTCATCGGATGCTGTGAAAGCAAGTTTGAGGCTGAAGTGCGGAGAGGATCAGCCGAGGAATAACCAAACCGTGATGTATTTTAAAGGCTTTCTTGGCAAAGAGGATGGACTTTATGTTTCTAAACCAGGCGTGTTTCAGGTGAGACAAAACATTGACTTGTCAACAGTAGGAAATCAAACTTGAACTCTATGACCCTCTGACATCTTAGTTCTAAAAAGAGAAATCTAAATGCTGCTTTGTGAGATGATGTTTTAAACAACATTGTGTTTCCTACTTTTACGCACCGTGCGCAAAGATAGCAACAAAAAAAAGAAGGTTTTTACCAGATTTGGTTTGGAGGGAATTCACTAGCCTGCACATCGCTGACCTCAACCCCACCCACCACTTTCCAACAAGTACAGGAGGAAGGAGTGAGGGAGATCAACTTTTAAAAACGTATCCGCACAAGTGTGAACAGGGTCAAAGCAGGAGAGACATCTGTAGTGCAACATTCCTGATTGTGTGTGTGTGTGTGTGTGTGTGTGTGTGTGTGTGTGTGTGTGTGTGTGTGTGTGTGTGTGTGTGTGTGTGTGTGTGTGTGTGTGTGTGTGTGTGCCACTGGCAACATATTACTGCCCTTGTTGTCACTGGAGACATCAATTTCCCCTTAAGGCTTAGTCTCAATCATTTACCTCTCCTTTCTCTCGCTCAGACGAGGTGACAAAGCGGCGTGACAGATCGGAGACGCCGGCACAGTTCCAGCCATTGAGATTAAGACTTTAACACGAAGAGGAAAGAGAAAAAACAAAAGATACGAGCGGCTCGGAGCTCTTGTCACGCTCTGCCCTCTCTTTCTGTTTGGTCTTCTGCACTGTAGCCAAACACCAGTAATCCCCTCCGCCACGGGATAATGGCCACCTGGATGCCCGTCAACATTTGACAACAACGAAGATCGAAAAGAAAATAGAGAGTGTAAAATGAAGACGTGTTCGTGTTGGGATACAGACAGGGAGGGGTTTGGCCCGTTGATAATGAGCGGTTTGTGGGTGAGGAGGGGGAGGCAGTGAAATGCCAGGTAATCACACACTGTTACCGGCCTCCTTTCCTGCCCTGGATTCACTTCTGCCAGGTGCACGGTGCGTGTGTACACGTATAAGTGCTGGCACGGCAAAAAGTCCCGATATTATCCGAATGAACCGGGAACAATGTTTAAGATGCATTAACAGAGAAGAGATCAGGTTGGATCAGATGCAACTAATAATAGATTTCACTCACTGTACATATCCATCAGCAGTCATATTGCTTCCTTTTTACGACAAACAGCCTTAAAAAAAACGGCTGATAAATATTGAATATGTGATTACTAATGAAGAGCAACAGAACTTATTTTAACAAGATGAACCAGATCCTTTTGGGTATTTTTGATGATTAAACAATAATGAAAATATACATTTGCTGGTTTTCTGTTGATCCATTACGAGTGAATTTGACATTCATTAAAATAAATGGCTAAAAGATTCTGAACACAAGATATATATTTTTTCCAAGCAAATATTATTTTAGCTTTTGTTTTTAAATGTGTTTGAGTGACTTGTATATTTCACACGTTAAAGGGTTTTGTAGGTTAACCTTTTTGCCATATTTGACATTGGACTTAGGTCAAATGTATTTCTTGGAAAGGTGAACAATTTAATTTCAAAGGTGTTTAAAATGTTGAAAAACGCACGTGATTTTAATTGTTTTCACACCTCACACATGATTCCTTCTGATAGTATGGACAACTTTATAACCCAAATGTCACCAAGCGCTCCGGTTTGCGTTTAACGTTTTAGTGTCCTCTGGTTTAACGTTTTGTTTCTGGTGCACTTTTAGTAAAGATGTTTTCTTAAATTGCATGTGTTTTGGCACAATTGTATTTTTATATTTGCATCGTTAGCTGCGGTGTGTTTCCGTTAATGGCAATGTTTTGGGCCATTGTAGCGCATTTGCACCTGCTGGTCACCGTAGAAACATTAATACAATAACACTTAAAAAACTGGTCAATATACACCAAATTAATACAATTATAAAAGGTATAAAAACCTGTGAGTTTTAACCAAGGCTCAGCTTAACCACTGAACTATTTCATCATTATGAATGTCCTTTTTGTGGTGGAATAAATTAAAAGTTAGCGTTCAAACACTCGTAAATCACTCGTATTGTAAATCAAATATAAAAGGCATAAATACATCAGTTGCAGTTGTTGGATAAATACAAAAAAAACAGGCATTTCCAGCTTTAAATACAGAGAAATAAAAGTCTCTAAATTGAAAACCCTCGGGGGAGCAAAGCTTCCTGTTTTTGTGAAAAACTGTTGGGGGCGGAGCCAACCTCAGAAGCCCCGCCCACCTGCTCACCACCTCACCTGGGATTAAAAAAGGATTACCCGCGTCAGGTTCCCTCCACACAAAAGACCAAAAAGGCCAAGGTAGCGGTTACGTTATAATTTCAGGGGAGAAGGGAAGTCTGGACGGGAACCAGAGAGCATGATGGGATATGTGGGCGGGGCCGAGGATTAAGGAGGTGAGATGTTGTTGTCAGCTGTTCATTGACTCAGAGTTTCTCACATCTGAGTTTCAGCCCCGTTTTTAAAAAAAAAAGGCAACTTCAGATAAAGCAAATTCATCATCCTAATATCACTTTATCATTTCCTCCATACTAACAGAGCTTTTCATGAGGATGGCAGAACTCATAGCTTGCATATCAACTTCTGTTATACCAAATATAGAGCTCTCAAAATAGTCTTCAGAAACATTTCATTTACAGCCAAACTCCTCAGAGGAAGACAGGATGTGTGTTCCCTTTCCTCCTTCTTCTTGTAGTCACATTGCTTTTGGATTGAAGCCTGAGAGGTTTGAATATCTTTAATCCCAGAGGACACTTTTAAAAACTGCCAGCATTCATAAAACCGAACAATGGAAGAAGTAAGAATCTCAGAGGAATTGGTTAATCGCTGCTTTAGGAAATGAGCGGTCACCATGATCTAATTGTGGAGATAACCCACTCTCTCCTTCACACCCTGAACGCCTCGTCACCTCCACACTTTAACTCTTCTGATCCCTGCCCATTCGCCGCCGCTCATTAAACGCTTTGCCGCCCACAAAGCGACACTTCAGCAAAACACATCTCCAAGGACGAGAGTGCAATTAATTAAGACTTGTTGTGTGATCTTTGGCTCGGAATAAAAAAAACCTCTTTATCTTTCACACATGTTAAACACGGCACGGTGAGCGAATGCAAAGAAAAACGCTTTGCATTTCTTTCCCCTCGTTTCTTCGACTGTGTGAAAGCGCACGGAAACAGTGATATGGGGGAAAAGAGGATGGACAGGGTGAAGAATAAAACAGCGGGACTCACGGGGACCTCCACATATTTGGCAGCTGCTTTCACCTTTCAGAGGGGGGGGAGGAGGAGAAAGTGAGGAAGGAAGACACTGGAGTTCAGCTGAGATCTGGTTTCCAGAAAATAACAGGTTTCCTCCGAGACGGAGAAAGAAACGCGCTCTGTGTTCGCGGGGACAAAAAGGAGCGTACTCACTGTGAAAGAGAGGATTGAAGAGAAGAATGTGCCTTCATCGTATCTGGAGAGTTTGTTGAGGACGCCGTCTAAAACAGCGGCGAACTGCAGAGGGGCAGACACAACAGCCGTTAATGCTCTTACTCTGCCGTCATTTGGACGCTTTTCAACCTGCTAAACAATCTAATGTTACTGTTATTAAGATTAGAGAAAATGAAACAATGCAATCAGAATTATTTGAGAATTTCTCTTAAAGTTTATATAGTTTTTTTTAGTGCAACAAAGCATCAGTGTCGGTGGTTTAAGATACAGTAAAGAAAATATACGTTTTTATTAGAAAATGTTATTTGTATAATGCACGACAAATACAATTTAATCACAACATACAACAAATAGTGAAAAAATTGTAAACTTTGACCACAACAAATAATGCAGTAAATAAAAGAAAACATGGATAATATTAATAATATACTGATAATAATAATAAGACAAAATAGAAAATGAACAAATGGATAAATATGATTTAATATCAGAATAAAAAGTGACCAACAATGATTAGAATACAAATGAAGAAATAAAGCGGAACTTTCCAAATTTAAAAACATTCAGTGAGTGAGAATAAAGAATATGAATATAATACATTTGTCTAATAACATGTTCATTACAAGCAAAAAACGAACGGATACGGACAAATGAAATCAGAATAGAAAGTGTTAAATCTATCATCTTTTCTAGCAATTGTGAAGCTTTAAAAAAAGAAGTGGAAAAATAAAACATGTCTCAAAAGAATAGAATAATAACTAAATAACAAAAAGAAGTGTAAGGTGACCCCACTCCGCCCGCAGGGAAAAAGAAAACACAAACAAAAGAAACCCCGGTGTAAACATGAGAGGATTTGATTGGAAAGAAATGTACCTTTGTGACCAGGGAGGAAAGCATGTCTTTGAACGCCTCGTCGATCAGAACATCGATTTTGGAGTGGTATTGTTGCTTGGAGGGAGGAGGGTGGGGGAGGGGGGGACAAAAAGCAATATTTTATTATTTCTAGAAAGACACACAAAAAGTCAAAGTGACTCCTCGCCTCCTGAGACAGAAGTACAGCTTTGTCTGTTCTGTAAGAGAAAGAAAGGAAAAACCTACAATGCACATCAAGTACACACACACACACACACACACACACACACACACACACACACACACACACACACACACACACACACACACACACACACACACACACACACACACACACCTCCCGTGACAAACCTCCCCATCCGTGCCCCTCCGCTGAGTTAAGCAGCTAATAGGACCATTCAGCGTCTGAATGACATTCCCGTCCGCGCTGGAAAAAGCGAAGGAATCTGAAGGATACTTTTTGTGCGTCTCCCTACAATTAGAGCAGCCTTGTATTGCTCTAAAGCACCGGTCCAGCTGCGAGGACCAAAGGCTCACACAAGATTCAATTAATCCGCCATTTCATGTCTCGTTTGGCCCCCCCTGAAAACATATTCATGGCACCTTTTCCCTTGAAGGATAAAAAATAAAAAGGCTGGGGCTGCGGGCTGAATGGCGGCAGCAGCAGGGGAGTTCATCTCTGGGCGACAATGCCCTTTCACTGGCCGTCTAAAGAACACCCAAATTAAAAATTTCAATCAACAAAGCGTACAGATCGCTGACAAATTGCGGGTCCTGTGAGGTCAGAGCCGACAGCCCTCATTTTGTCCCCCCCTCTCCACAAGTCCGCAAAATGGCTTTCAGCGCTCATCTTCCTGCAGTTCTTGAGAGCTTTTTCTTTTTTCCGCTCTTCTTACCTCAATTAACATCGCTGCTTTATTCTCTCCCCCCCCCCGCCGTAAACAGCAGAGAAATAGTTTGGTCTTGCCATGTGTTCGGGGAAATAGTGAAAAGGACAATTAGAGCTTTTAAAAACATTTATCTGCTCGTTGCCGCTGCTCCTTCAGCTCTGTGAGATGTTTTAGATTCTGCAACCGGGTCACATTCTCCCCCCCCCCACGCCGTCGCTATTCAAATAACCTCACAAAAAGACAGCACACTCATTAGCATGTTCATTGATTAGCCGCAGTGTATACAAGCAGAATTCATGAATCCAGGAGTTTAATGTCCGTATTGAACTGTCAAGAGCAGATTATTCACAGTCCTGCCTGTTGAGCTGGAACAATCTGGAAGCTTCCTCAGTCAAAACAAGAGGCATGATTGAGGAACGCCAGCAGGATTTGTTGCCAGAAAGGATTCGCTGCAGATGGACGCTCTATAGCAGCTAGTTGCAGGAAAACTGACCGCACTAGAGGTCTGCCGTGACGTCTCTGAGAGCCTTCAGACTGTCAGGGGTCAGAGGTCAGGAGGCCTCATTCACAACACCCACCGCCAAGTGAGCACAAGCTGCATCCACTGAACCGCATTCAGGAGAATCAAGTGATGTTTAAAGAGCACAGAGAAAGAAACCTCCTGAATTCAAACGGCTCGCTGAAGGCTACATGCTTTTATGATTTGCTGGTTGCATTTAACAAGATAAAACCAGCATAAAGGGTCTTATAGATATTAAAGTCATTATAACCACTTGGATTAACTCTCTTGTACAAGTGGGATTTCAGGCACACGTCAATCACATCGATTCGTTAACATACAGAAATATAAGAATAACAGAGTAAAATATAACAGAAGAGGTTTAAAGAGGACATATAATGCACATGTTAAGGTTCATATGTGTATATTGTGCTTATTATTTGAAGGTTATTCCAACACTCACGGCCAAAGTAACATACATTTTCTTTCTAGTCTCACTTCGCACATATGGCACTTTAAATCCGGGCCAATTATTTGATCGAAGCTTGCAAGCATTCCGTACAACAACATATGGGCATTCAAATGAAGCAGTGCTGCTTCCTCCCCGTATAGAAATGAAAACCATATGTCCAGACTGTATAATGTGCAGAAAGGAGACCTGGAGCCTTGTTGGAAATATTCCTCTCAGAGTAGATCAGCAATGTCTACCTTTGGAAGTGGCTTATAAGTGTTCCAGTTATAACGCTGTAAAGTATTAAGGACATATCGGTTTATGTAGAACCTCAAATTTACACTTAAAGTGGACCTATCATGCTGTATTTGAAACATATATTGTAGGGCCATACCTATACAAAACATGTCTGTGAAGTTTTTTGTTCAAAATACCAAACAGATCACCCATTGTTGTAGCCATGCCTCATACTGCTCATACCCCTCCTTTGCAGCCCTGTTAGAGAAACGCGGATTTTGGGTCCTTAGCTTGAAAGAAAGAAGAAGAGGAGGCGGAGCTAATGCCTGATCAGAATTCTACCGGAGATAAAGTTAAATTCTGCTGTGATAAAACGCCATCCTGTTCTAAACCACATCAAGGATTATTTCTGAAACAGTATGGAGCTCAAATGCTTTCTCTCTTGCGGGTTTATCACAAGGTGAGTTCTTTTTTTATTTCCTGCTTTTTAAAAACACATGTGCTCTCCAGTACAGGTTAGCTCTGAGTGTTAGCGAGGCTTGCTAATGTAAACAAAGACGAGATTACGTCCAAAACACGTCAGGCATCGTTTCTGATAGCAACTCTCTGTGGGTCCGCCATCCGAAATTACGTCCGCTCGGCAGCAAATCTGTATCCGCTCGTTGTACCCCCGTTTCTAAAATATGTGGGTACGGAGGAAAAGAGAGAGGGTTTTGTTTTCTGATTCTGCGTGAGTTCCCCGACGCACCGGGGACACACAAGACATCACAAAGTGCATTTTGCATGATAGGTCCCCTTTAAATAAATGATGACTTCGTCAAGGTGCAGTAGATGTAAATTTGGTACCGTCGCAAAAAACAGCTAGAGAAAGGAAGAAGACCCACAAAGTTGTGAAGAACCAAGTAACATCGTGTCTCCTTCGTCTCGTCCCTAACGAATTGAGCTATATAATTTATTAATAAGAATTGGTTTTGGGAGTACATCCTATCAAAGAATGGGAACAAGTATAAAATCGTAAACCGCACAGAATTTCAAGGAACGGAGTACTCTTTGTGAAACTTTGGTACCAACC